CTGTCTACCATGAATGCTCGTTTATTTCTTTTTTGAAGTAATATTTTAATAACTTTAAAAAAGAATATCTCTCTCTCTCTCTCTCTCTCTCTCTCTCTCTCTCTCTCTCTCTCTCTCTCTCTCAATACAAGACACTTTATAAAGCGAACTACCTATTTACTTGATTGCACGGATTTATTTTTTTCAAGCTGTAAAAAGTAACCTTTCCCCATATGAACAAGGCACACAATACGAGTAGTTTGTATACGTTTAATCACTGAAGCATGGCATACGTGTTTCCTAATCCGTCTACAGTTTAAGTATTACTGTGTATTTTCTTCCATTTGTTCGCTTCTTTAAAACATTGTAAGTGATCACAAAACATTTCACATGAGCAATTTTCAAATACAAAGTAGTTAAAACACTATCCGTTCTATTTTACACATATACTTATTTTTTTCGATTTTAAATTTTATATGGGTACAATCACTGGTCCCGAGAAAACTATCGAGATACGGGAAGTTAGGGAAAGTTACGTTCGTTCGTAAGATGTCGGTGTTTCTCTAATAAGGATATGGAGATAACGAACAATATTCAATCTCAAAGTCCATTAAACAATATACAAAATAAGAGCAGAGCAAACATGAACCTCCGAAACATCAGAGGTTGGATCGGGTGCCATGGAGGAGTGAGCATCCCCTGCCGACCGGTTACACCCGCCGTGTGCTCGTTGTCATGATCAGGAAATAACGGAAAAAAATCCGTCGTCAATTCAGTGTATAAATAATGGACTAACAGTTATTATGAAAAACGTCAGTCAGCATTTGACTCAATGATAATTTGCTGACAAGGTCATTGTATCGACCAAAGAACTTACAAAATTATGACTTTTAACGAGACTGCTGATACTCTTGTTTCATCAACTTGCTTGTCAATAATTTGCAAATCAAACTTCCAATTTGCTTCAAATCTTTTCATAAAAGCTTTTAGTAATGCACATCTTAAATAGAATATTAATGTAATAAGTGCATAAACAGTAATCTCATTTAATGTACAATTTCATATTTGTCCCACATTATCATTTGGAATTGTTTAATTTTATGTACTTGACAGAAACATTAAAGAAATGATAACTAAAGGATAACATTTTCTTATATGACAAAAAAATCACTGATAAGAGCACAGACCTTAAGCGTTCGTTCTATGATGAGTAAAAAACCATAAATTATAAGTATTGTACACCTATGATTCTTGTGTTATAATTCACTTTCATTTAATTATGTCAGCAATCTACTTTTCCTGCTAGTGTTTCCTTAGTATTTCACAGAAAATATCTTAATTGATCACACTATGACCAATAAACACCCCCCCCCCCATTCCCCCATTAATTCTGCCGATATATAAAAACATAGCCACTGAATCCTTTTGTCCCCTAAGTTAATGACCATTTGACATTTTTTTTGCTTTTAAAAATATTCCAGGTAGTTTTCAATGAGAATGGATGCCTGCCCCCCTCCCACCACTCACATTTTTTCCTACAGGCCTGTAATCTATTTGAAAATTTGATCAATTGATAAGAACTCTTAGGCTCATTATTTTTAGCCCCTTTTACTTTACTTGTCCACATTCTGCTGATATTAAAATCAAATGAGTTCAATAATCAGATTATTGATATATGATGTCTGTGAATGGATTGTGTTCATGAATACAAGCATGTGTGCTTTTGAAATTATTCAATGCATGTCATTCAATTACTAATATCTGGGGAAAAAAACCCTGAGCTTTAATATACATAATTATAAGTGCGATATTGTGTTTTAAAACATAAAGAAAATTTCTTTTATGAATGACATATTGCAGGGAAAAAAGTTTTGATGCAAAAAATAAAAAAAATAAAAATAATTATCTCGAATTTCCTCTGCATACCACATTTTTCTTTAAATGGAGCAAAAAAAAAAAAGAAAGAAAGAACGAAAAAGAACATAGTATGCTCAGAAGCAATAAGTGGGGTTAAAATCTTCAGCACTCCATCAGCAAGTGGTGGCGTTTTTATATAAGTGCAATGTTTCAAAGAGGGGTGGTAACAAACAAACAAACAAAATACAATCTTTAATCAATAAAAAAATGTTTAAAACATTGCATATATACTGAAAAAAACACATATTTGAACACATAATTTAATAGAATCATTAACGAATTTTATTATTTTTTTTTTTTGGATTAATTGGAGACGTAAGCCAGTTTCAGGGATATATTTTGAGGAATTTAAAACTTTTTAAGTTTAATTGATCATAAAAGTTAATACAAAGATTAAAACATAGTTTCAATATAAATCTCGACCTACAGTTTTCTTAAATCAGGGGCGTAGCAACAGGGGGGGGGGGCTGCCCCCCTCCCCACTTTTTTCCCAACCTTACTTATACTATAGGAAATGTTAATTGGGAGCTAGGTTCCCCCCCCCACTCTTAGTTACATGTATGTACCGAAAAAGTAGTATTAGAATTGATACTAAAAATAGTTGACACTGAAAAAGAAAGCTATACCCCCCCCCCCCCCCCCCGCGAAATAGAATTTTCGACTCTCAATCATTTTTTTTCTCTTAGATATTTACCACGAATTTCATTCCAAGACCAATGGTAAAGGTCAGAAGTATAAATAATGAGCTAAGATTTGCATATTTATTGTTTATTTCAATTCTGTTTTTGTTGTTGCTAAAATGGCTTTATTCATTCTTTCAATACGTTCTCATTTATAGCTAAGCCCTACACAGTCTGTAAACAACGAAATAGTTTTACGCCTATTCAATTTAACAGGTATGCATTGTAGAAAGGCAGGTGTGTTATTTTCATAAATAGGTAACCCGGATATTTAAACTAGGTAAAGATTACTTCTGATGCATCGAACCATACACAAAGGATAAACTCGTCTTTTTGGAGCAATGAAAGAAGATATTTATAAATTACTGGTCTCTGGATGATTGTAGAAGGTATATTAAATATAAAGATATCACTACTCGAATATCTATATATGTGATAAACTTTAAATTAACTATACAGAGTGATGATAAATCTACTTTCGTTTTAGATTATAAGGTTTAGATTTTCTCTATCAAAATTAAGGATTTAACAATTGGAAAATGCAAAAGATTGGCTAAGGAAAGAGGCAAAATATGCTTATATATAGTCTTTGAAAGACAGAGCATTGAGGGAAGGAATCTATTTCTCAATTAACTGCAATACTATACTATATGTATAACAGGCTTTTAAAAGTGCACACCTAAATATATTTTTTACATGCATATGTATATGTTGGGTCCGTTTGTCACTGATTATAAATCTTATTTTCTAATAGACATTTATATCGAATTTCATTTGGAAATTTATAAAGTACAATACAAGTTTTACTTAATAAATCATTCCCACTCTCTTATAAAACCAATCAAATGTTGCATTTTTTTTTTCAAGATAAGGGTTGTTTAGAAGTACCTGGGTATTAAACAGTTACGTTTTATCAAGGTTACCAAAACGTTTATTTATTTTCTAGTGAAGCCGTTCTTAGTAAAATCTTAAAAACAATAAGAATTATTATGGTCTATTGTTATCCATTATAAAAACGGGGTTCTGATTTCATATTAGAGAGCATGTAAAGAGAGGGCGACCAATGTGTACAGTTCAAATTAGATTAACATGTAGATGTTAGCATTTGCATCACTTTTTCTTGTTTTCAATTATAGGTTACATGCATATATGTTCATATAAATCTTTTTCATAATGTCATTTTTCCAACTCAATGAAAAATATGTATTCCACTGAATGCGCGTCTACATTTTCTATCGTCACTAAGGAATAATCTCAAACGTTTATGACGAGGAACCTGCATTTATTTGGTTATAAATATTATCTGTCTGATGCAATTTACACTGTTTATAATACAAAATACAACACATCGATGTGGTCTAAACAAGTATTTAATTCTACAGCCAAACATACATTTGAATTGTTCGGGTTTGATATGTTTTTCTGTTCTGATAAGTTTTTGAAGGCGTTCATGATTATTGGAAAAAAAGGTTCGGAGCATTCCTTTGATGTCTGCAATAATCGTAGTAGAATTAGGAATAATCATCAAATACTCTGAAACTTATTATTTTTTTTATATTGGATAAAACTTTCAGCAGCATCAAAAACTGTGATAAATATCTTTTAAAAAGTCATTTAGGGGCATCACAATTCCTTGGAGATTTTTTTTACCATTCATTGTAGAAAAAAAATACAGTAGACCTTCAGATATCCGGACGCCAGATATCCGGACGCCAGATATTCGGATGCTTCAGTATCCGGACAATTTTTCATCGGAACAAAATTTTTAAATGTTATTTTGTCTTGTTTAATTGGTGATTCAGATATCCGGATGCTTCATATATCAGGACAAATGACCGGGAAGCAAAGCATTCGGATAAATGAGGGTCCACTGAAAATGGACCTACTGTCTAGACCCTTTAAATATTTGACCTTATAAAAACATTTAAGCAGTTTAAAATCTATGATCATTATTATTTACCATTTGTATCATACAATTATTGAGGTATGTTTCAAGGTAATCAAATTGTATATTATCAATGTTGAATGCTTCACATGTATCGACATTGATTTCTTGTTTGTAATTAGGTATGCATCTACCAAATTCTGTTCCTGTGACTAGGCATCCCCTACGGGCCTGGATACCTCTTTATTGACCAAGTGAGTACTCTTTCAAAATTGGCATACGATTTACAAGAGACACATTATAATGACGATGATATTTCAAAAGCGCTGGATATCCGAAGTGAGAAAAACAACTCACCTTTCATATATTAATATGACTATTTATTTTTTAATTACTTTATATAAATAATAATATTGAGAAAATTGTAGAATTTATTATGAATTTCAATATTTCGCTAAAAGAAATGGAAAACTTTGTGGACTTCTGTCCAAATAACATCACAGAGGTCTTAGAATCCTCCACCAGGCTGGGTTGTGGTAGGGATCGATATGGAAATGATCAGTACATCTGTGTCCCTTACATTGACAAAACAGGCCTGATCGAATTGTGCTACGGTGGGATCATGGGTATAATAGAACAAGGTAAGTAATTGAAGAATACTCGAATTGAATCAAGGTTTTACCAGTTTATTCATGTATACAGGTATATAACCACATGCTTCCACTCTGACGGTCCATGCACGCACTACTCATGCCGGATACACACTGACCCTGACCCACACTACGAACCATAACTCTAGCACACAAACTCTTACACACAAGTGACACAACACAAATTAGAGTTACTTCCCTTAACACTACAATCCCCCTTTTCTAAGAATAAACTTTTTCACTTCTCAAAATAAATAAATTACTGAAAGAAATTATTGTCCCCACATATTATTAGAAAACATTTACAATTTACAGTCCAGATATAGAAAACTTTCAGTCATTAACATTCACACAGAAATATTTCACAGTTCGAAGTCCTTAAGGCGTTGCGGTAGTTTCCTTATACGGGTAGACCTTCTAACGCTCGGAGTTACTGGAGCCGCAGATGGAACATCATCACTATTAGCACTAGACTCAACACTCGGTTCACTAAGATCACTCGGATTCTCTGGAATATCGGACACACTTTCCGGTTCCTGATATTTTTTCACAAATTCACTATTTCGCTTCAATAACACTCCCTCCGGCGATTTTACAACACAACTGTTTCCCGTTTTCTGAACAAGTTGATATGGCTCAGCATGATACGGCGTATCCATTTTGTCCTTGACCGCTTTCTTCAAGAGGACCGAATCTCCTAGCTCTAAATCACAATCCACTGCACCACGTTTCTCGTCGATGTAAAGCTTGTTCCTGTATTTAGAATACGCATCCTTATCGTGCACTCCCTCATCATAGTCGTTTTCTTGTAGATTTTCCACTTGCGGTAGCTTTGTTCTCAGCTTCCGACGGAACATCAACTCGGCAGGTGGTACTCCTGTCGTAGTATGAGGAGTCGTTCTGTATGCAAATAGATATTTGCGGATTTCGGTCTTCCAATTCTTAGACTCGGCTTGTGCAATCCGAATTCTTTTCATCAACGATCTGTTTTGTCGTTCTACCTCCCCATTTGCTGACGGATGTAACGGTGTAACTGCTCGATGCTTGATACAGTTATCTGTCAAGTAATCCTTGAATAACTTGGATCTGAACTGGGGTCCATTATCAGAAGTTATTTGTAATGGAAGTCCGTGTCGACAAAACATTCCCTCCAGCGAATCAATGATTTTCTCACTTGTAATATCCTTGGTAACTTCAATCTCGTAGTATCTGCTGTAATAATCAACAACCACTAACACGTACTGTCCAGATGTTAATGGTCCAAGAATATCAATACCTAATTCTTGCCATGGCCCTGTTGGTAATGGAGTAGGACTAATTGGTTCCGGTTTCGGAAACGCACTGGTATTCTGACATCCGTGACACGATTTCACATACTTCTCCACTTCCTTGTCCATCCCAGGCCACCACACTTTAGTACGTCACTGCTGTTTCGTCCCAACGATTCCTAGATGACCCTGGTGAGCTAACTGTACACACTGCTTCCTCAGATTTCTTGGAATCACTATTCTGGATCCACGTAAAACCACGTATCAAATCCAACAAAGTTCATCTCGGAATGGGTAATAATCAACACATGATTTCTCCCACTTTCCCTCTTTGATGAATTTTCGGATTCTGACGAGTTCTTCATCTCTCCTTGAAGCTTCTTCTACTTCTCGAGTCGACAGTGCCTGAGGGGTTGCCTCCCTTGCAATAAATTTCACGTATTGCTCAGTGTCTTTTGAATTACTGTTTTCTACATGTGTCTTATCCACCAAACGAGATAACGCATCTGCGATATTCTGATGTCCAGGTGAATAACGTACTTTGAAGTTGTAAGCCATAAGTTTTAATAGCCATCGTTCAATTCTTGCATTAGGTCTGGATTTTCTTCCATAAATCACTTCTAATGGCTTGTGATCTGTGACTAATTCAAAATCCACCCCGTAGAGATAGATATGGAACTTCTCACATGCCCATACGACTGCCAAAGCTTCTTTCTCAATTGTCGAATAATTGCGTTCGGCCGCTGACAACGTACGACTGGCATAACTGATGACCCGTGTTTCACCTTTGTTGACTTGAAGTAAAACTGCTCCTAGGCCTACATTACTAGCATCTGTCACTAACTGAGTTTTTTCTGCATCTAATCTGTAATGTCCTAAAGTTTTCACATTTGACAAACAACTCTTTAAAGTGTCAAAGCTTTTCTTCTGTTCGGCTGACCAGACAAACTTCACATTTTTCTTTGTCAATCTCCTGAGCGGTTCTGCCACAGTAGCAAGATTTGGTATGTAACGAGCACTAAAGTTTACAAGTCCGAGGAAACTTTTCACTTCGGATCCATTTGTTGGTTCTTTAGCATTGAGTAACGACTTGATCCTTTCACTAGTTGGTCCAATACCATTCTTTGATAAGACGTGTCCCATGAACGTTATCTTGTTCATCCTAAACTCACACTTGTTTAGATTTAGTGTCAAACCTTTATCTTTGAGTCTCTGTAAGGCTTTGCGAAGTCGCTCATCATGTTCTGCTTTGTCACAACCATAGATTACGATATCGTCTGATATATTCTGTACTCCTTCACAGTCATGAAACACTTGCGAAATCACTTGCTGATATTTCTCTGGAGCTGACGAAATACCAAACATCAGTCTCTTATACCTGTAGAGACCTTTGTACGTAACGAATGTAGTGATCTCCCTTGACGACTCTTCCAGCTCAATTTGATGGTATCCACTTCTAAGGTCTAACTTACTAAACACTTGGCTACCATTCACCATGTAGAGTATGTCATCCACTGTCGGAATAGGATGCCGTTCTCGAATAATGGCAGCACTGGCTTGTCTCATGTCGACGCACAATCTAATGTCACCATTGGGTTTCGGTACAATTATGACTGGACTGACCCACGGTGTAGGATCATTAACTCGTTCAATGATATCCTGAGACTCAAGTTCGTCCAACTGTTCTCCTACTTTATCTCGCAAACTGTACGGAATTCTGTACATCCCTTGAGCTACTGGCTTCACATTCTTGTCAATACGTAACTTCAACTTAAAGTCTTTCAGTTTTCCAATACCTTGAAAACACTCAGAATAGTCATGAATAATATCAGCTGGCTGAACTGTGTTTACTCCGAGTTTAAGAACACCTAAATTCATTGCCGTGTCTTTTCCTAGTAACGCTGGTCCTTTACCATCTAGCACATAGAATTCCTCTTCTCCACTTTTACCATTTTCCGGAATTGATGTTTGCGTTCTGAATCTACCCAATAGTTTCAATGGTTCTGTAGAGCTATACGCAAAAAGTTTTTTATCGCTTTTCTCTGACTTACACTTGATACGGTTCTTCTTGAGATGTTCCCAGAGTTCTTTATCAATAATGTTAGCTGATGCACCACTATCAATGACAAATTCTACAGGATTTCCTCCTAGGCTGACTTTTACTTTGTCTGATGATGTATGTCCTGTTTTTAGACTGAACACGTATACGTCTGAGTCGGAATCCACTTCAGAATAGTCCACTTTGTGTATCTTCCCACCTTTACTTGGTTTGCTTTTTCCTGGTTTCTTTGTTTGACAGCATTTAATAAAATGTCCAACTTTTCCGCACTTCCGACATTCCTTATTCCGAGCAGGACACGATACGTCCTTTGCAAAATGCCCCTCTCGTCCACAACGAAAACACTTCTTGTCCTGAAATCTGTGTTTCTGTTTGTCAGTTTTTTCACGATGTCCCTGAATTCTGTTTACTGACGCCACAATTTCAGTGTCCATATGCCTAGCCTGTGTTTCAGTCATCTCAAATGTAGCTGCTATGGTCCTCAATTGCTCTAAAGTCAAGTCTTTTCCTTTCTCTAACAACTTGGCTCTTATCTTGTGAGACCTGCACTTTTCAATCACTTGATCCCGAATTTGCTCATCCTGATTTGTGAAGTCACAATACACAGCCTGTTGCCGTAATTTTGTGATAAACTGTTCTACTGTTTCACTCTCAGTTTGCAGAATTTTCCTGAAAATATATCGTTCATACGGAACGTTGACTTTATTCTCAAAATGTTTATCTAACGTTTTCACAGCTAACGTATACACATTGTCATTGTCACCTGCTTGTTCAACATTCAATGTATAAAAAATGTCTTGAACTTCGGGTCCAGCACAGTGCAAAAGTAATGCTTTTTTTGTTCAGCGTCACTCACCCCTTTTCCAACAGCGAAAAGCTCAAAACTTCGGTGCCACCTTTTCCATGCTTGATTTAATTGTGACGGTTCAGCATTTGGATCAAATTTTCCAACTCCGTTGAGTTCTATTAGTGTAGCCATCTTGTAGTTTTCGTTTTCCTCGTCGCCAGTGAAGAATACTCGAATTGAATCAAGGTTTTACCAGTTTATTCATGTATACAGGTATATAACCACATGCTTCCACTCTGACGGTCCATGCACGCACTACTCATGCCGGATACACACTGACCCTGACCCACACTACGAACCATAACTCTAGCACACAAACTCTTACACACAAGTGACACAACACAAATTAGAGTTACTTCCCTTAACACTACAATAATAAGCTATTCAAAGTAATATAAAAAATCTTTTACACTGTTAAAATAATTAAGAAATTAATACAATTAATATTTTGCTATTAAAGAGCTAAGCACGCTTACATTTTGCACCCATTGAATTCAATATTTATAGCAATATTGCAATAAAATCTCTGGTGACTGATTTATTTATTTTGTTACCAACGGTACATGTAGAATGTAAAATACCCTTAATTATAGCTCTTGAAAAAAGGTGGGTAAACGATATTTTCTATTGAAATCGGCCATTCAAGCATCGCCTTAATTTAAAATAGTTCCGAATAGGATTAATTGTCCATAAAACCTTTTCTTATGTGTAAGGCAAATGCATATATATATATATATATATATATATATATATATATATATATATATATATATATATATATATATATATATATATATATATATATTAATAAGATGCAAGGTTTTAGTTGAAAACAGCCTTGAAATTGGTGAAGACATAACTGGGTTTTTCCCCCCATTCCCCGTGAAACACAAACACTTTTGTATGAATTTGCAATTACAGTCCATATTTCCTGAAAAAGTTTTTTTTTTTTTGTTATGCAATGTTAAGTACTTGAAAATATAAGGGATATAAATATTCAAGACAGATCGAGACTTAAGATTCATACAAAATATTTACTATTGTTTACTATAATAAACTTTTGTACAACGCTCTTAAATGTAAAGATACACGAAAATTATGGTGGTTTCATGATTGTAGAATATTTGATAAAAATGAGCATCTTTTACAAAAGAACTTACGACTATGACCAAAAACTTTAATTGATTGTAAATATTTTCAAAATTAATGGTAGATTTTAAAATTACTAGCATGATTTTTTTTTACTTATTAAAAGATAAAAACCATTTTCAAACAAATGCAAATAAGGAATTCATAAGCAGAATAAATGTTAGTCTTTGTCGTAAGATCTCTTGTAAAACAGGCCTCATGAACTATAATTCAAAGCAGAAAATATGGAAAACTTACATTATTTATTATCAAATACAATTGGAATTTTTAACAAAGGTATGAAATGATTCAAAATACATTTAACGAAAGATTGTTTCTGATCAAGTGGATGCAAGGTGAGTTCGGAGACATCTGATTAAAATGTCAATTGATACATTTATGGCACTTTCTTCTTTATTCTCCAGACTATTTGTTTTGATTCACTTTTACAAATAAACTTTTCCACTTATTATACAATTAAGGTTACTGTTTGGAAACTGACGGACAAAAACTTGTTAACTTCAACTGCAGTAGATTTTCATCGGGCTGTCCGAGGAAATATTATCGAAGCAATGAGATATACCAATGTAAGTTCAAAGTTTTTTTTTTCTTTTAATATTTCATTAAGCTTCAAATTACAATAAAAAACAATTCTTAATTGGAATTATTACAATTTTTTGGGTTAATTTATTGAATCATCTAAATTTTGCTCATTTATTAATTTAGATCCTGCTTGTCAAGGCATCAATACTGAACAAAATTGCTATTTTGCAGAATCCTCATGTCCAATTAAGTAAGTTTATATTTTTATGGAAAATTAATTTTCATTTTACATTTTTTAAGATTAAATAAAATAAAAGAAAATAAACAATATGTAATTTTATTTTTGATACTAAAGTAGACTGATTTATAAGGCATTCACATACATGTATCTATTATTAAGTATATTATTAAATGTTAAATACCTACTGCAGAAATTCTAAACTTTAAAAATATGGTATTTGGTTAATATTAATGTTTGTATAACTGTTGTCCAGACCATTTTTTTTTTTTAATTTTCAAATATTTCAAGTTAAATTTTATTTGTCGTCATTTTGATCGAAAAGTGTGTGGTGTTCGTTTGCCCGGTTTCGGCTAGCTGTAAACATTATAGGTCTTCAAGTTTTTCAGGAATCACGGTGAAATTTAAAGTGTTTTAACCGTACCTTAAATAAAGTGAAAGATAATTAAAATTATCAAAACAAATATTATCTATAAAATCGTTTCAATTGCGAATGGGCAAGGACAGGTGAACCTTAAACTTTTTTACAAATGAGTGTTAATTCATGGAAGTTTTCAAAATCGCACTTATATAATATGTACTAATTTCGGATCGGCTGATTCTCATTTTACTAGATGTGTACTCCAATGACCCATCTCGTTTCGGAAAATAAACGTCTACAAAACAGACATTTTGCCAATTATAACCAAGTTAACGGGAAAGGGGTGCCCATAACAAATGAGGTGGCGCTTGAGCAATACCAGGAAGAGTTTCATTACCTTTAGAAATAGATGCAAATATATCTACATTCAAGTCTAGGTTTATTTTGCACAAAGAAACCAATAAATTTTACCTTTTGGAAAAACTGCAAGAAGGATTAAAGTAACAGTTGTAGCATTGGAAAATCCAGCTACCCATGCTTCAAAATTGTTTGCTACGACTGTTTTTTTTTTTTTTTTTTTTTTTTTAGATTTTCCTTAAATTCTTTATTTCTTTGTTATATAAAATAAGTTCGAGTAAAAGAAAGCAAAGAGAAATTTCTATAAAGAAGAATTCCATTAAGGATTTCTTAGATAAAAACGTTGTTATCTTTAAGTTTTACGCGTATTTTTGCATTTATTTTGACTAACACAAATACATTTAAGGACTGTTGAGATTTTAATGACATGTGACATGTCTTTGTTTAAATTATCTAATAGCAGATTTTTGACGCTTAACAAAATAAATAAGATAATATAATTAAAGTGCTTATGAATTTTAACGTCCCATACGATGTAAATCAATCCTATTTTCACACATCAATTAGCTAATTTTTGTTTTTATTTCTACGGCTCTGAACAAGTTTTTACTAACGTTTTATAAACATGTAGAAAACTTGTCATCACTAAAACTGGTGACGTAATACGTAATAAAATGAGAACAAATACATGATGTTTAAAATTTCTACCTCCCTAATGTGCAGTTCTTCGATCCAATTGCCAAAGTGCAAGTCTTTAAATACATACAAATAGCATTCGCAAATGTAAAAAAAAAACCATGTCCCGTATTTACAATAAAAGGATTAATATGAATGTCATTTCGATGAAGCTTCAGGTTTTTTTTTTTGCCCTTTTCACTAAGCATCTGTTTCATATCATTGGCATCTTATTTGCCTTAATGTTTTTGTCCAATTATCTTTGCGCCTCTCTTTATAATATTCTACTCTTTTTTGCTAATACAATATTACATGTAATTGAAATTAAACTTAACTTTTAAGAGCAAGGAATATCTTATAAAATTTCTGTTGATTTAAGATTAGCATACAGATCTAGATTAGCATACAGATATGTACAATTATTTAAAGTATGTTTAATGATATGCATGTATTTATATTGTGATTTTTATTTTGAAAACTTTCATTTTCCTGTACTTACATGTACTTAACCTAGCTGAAACTTTCTTCAACTATTCTTAGATGTCACACATTCTTTTACGTTTTAGAAATATATTTTTCAGCTTTCAGTTTCTTTAATATTGCATTAAACTGACATTGGTTTATCATGAATCAGCAATATCTGAACATTGCTGTCAACTCTGATGAAATTCAAGTTGAGAAATAAGTCGAAACTAATGGTAGTATTGACCTTCATATAATTATATATTAATTAAATCATATTTATGTTTATTGTCGAAAAACTGAAATGGTTCTGGACACAATTTAGTAATCTCCATTCCCATTACAATCATAATCTATGTACTGAACTTTTTTGGTGGAACTCCACGATTCACGTGCGCAGTACAGTAAAGGTGTGCAATTGAAATAGCGACTTAATTTTGTATTTTAAAATGTATTCGTAATCAGGATGGCGATTATTTTTAGTACATTATTTATTTCCGATAATTGTAATAATGATAAATAACTACATATCGAGGACGATTATATTTTATATTAAGACTAGTCACGTGATGCGGCAGTAACGCGATTTTGGCACATTGACTTGAAGTTTTGATGTTACATATAAAAATCACTAGTGCAAGGGCATAACCAAGTTAAATAAGTAACATTTCCAAGTTAAGTATATAAATATTCTCAACACGCATTGTAGTTTCTAATAAGTGTTGCGATCCTGTCTAAATTCTGCAATTTCATTGTTAAAATTATACTTGTATGACCGGATGCAATATTTTTTGCTGGTCAGCGGCGTGAAATATTGATATTATTAAATTGTTTTTAAGATTTTATCAGGATCGCAGCACTTTTCAGATACCTTAATAGTTCTATAGTTGAAATGTAAAAGCTTACTTTGAGCCATAAAGAGTATGCCCTTGCACTAGATCGATTTATTAAAACCCCTCATTACACTCCGATGTACTTGCATACAAATATACGGCAGATTTAATTAAATATGTAATGTAGTACAGAAAATATAATTCATAAGATAGTGAAGAAGACATTAAATTCAAGTGATTGGTCAATAGAATATCTGTAAATAATATTTTATATAATTAAAGAATTCATATTTTGTTGAGAAAATATTACTTGATCTGGCTCTCTCTGCATACAAACTACGTCACGTTGTAAGAAATGACGTCATATTGACAAGTGTCTTACGATCAGTGACTTGTTTATAACTTGTTATGTGGGATTTAACTATCGACAAAACAACACACTGTAGTAAGTTTTTATGTAGTTTGATGATTTCTAACTGATAAATTAGCCGATACACTCATTTTGTGATATTTTAAAGAAATGTTGTATGACGTATATTGTGTATGATGTCATAGTCAAGTTTTCCCGTACAAATTAGGCTCCGCCTCCTTTTTGTAACCTTAACTGTGCTGCGTGCCTTAAACCTAAAACTGTGATTTTGGAAAAAAAACACTTTGGGTTTTCATAAAGGATTGACATCAGCCTTGCATAATAATGCTTCTTTTTACAACTGTTACCAGCAACACAACAACCGCTCCTCAACACGACCAATCATATGCAGCAGAGGTTGTAAGCGGTCTGGCTGGTGTGTTTATACTTGTCGTTATCGTGATAACTGCTGTTGTCCTTTTGAGGAAAAGAAAAAATCGGAAACAAAAAGGCAAACTAAGCATGTCATTCTCTTGGAATAATATTGAATCTGGTGAGGATAATTGGCAAAGTTTGTATGTCTAATTATATAAGATATATCTTTGAACTTTTAGCGTAGAAACTACGTCGCATTTCACCGCGTACCATATCTAGTGAATTGTTTGGCCTGTGCTGGATCCATTATGACTCCATAATTAATTCAATGCTACTTTTTCTCGTACTTTACAGCTTCAATAAATAATGTAGAAAATAAGGCATTTTGAAATAAATGGACTTTAATTCAAACTAATTACAATGATTATTTTTTCATAAATACAATGTACATGTATTAACATTCTCATCCCAAACTATCAATTAATTATTAAATCCTGTGTACGTGCAAACAGGATAGAAAAACGTAACAGTAGATTATTACTTATCTGTAATAGTTTGGGGAAGGTAAGCATTTCAATCACTTTTTGTAATCAATTGGGTATGTTCTTCATCATATAAATGATTGAAAACATCCTCACAAAGACTTTTGGAAGTTATATACAAATTTTGAGTGGATAACTGACTGCAAATAAATAGAATTCATTTACCAATAGTTTTTTCTTTAATAAATGTGGACTTATCTTTCATGTCAAATTAATAAAAAATATTATTCTCTTAAAATATTGTTTAATAGTGTTCAATTAATAAACAAAAAAACAACGATGTTTTCACATTTAATTTCGTGATTTTTTGTCTTCTTTGCATGAAAAGTACCCCGAAATTGTGAAGTCAAAATATGTAATTTCCATTCATTGTTTAACAGGTTGTACTTCATTTAATAACAAAGAAACATGGTATGTGCTTTTAACTGATTGATAAGCAAGTGCTAATTGATCATTATGAAAAGTTTGAAAATCTTGTAACCAAGACTTTTCGGACATAAGTGCTACCTTAAGGCATTTTCTGAACTTTGTACATCTCTTCTTTTTGAAGTTGAGGGTGAGACGTTGTTGGAAGACGGGAGGAGAGGATCTCGAGGTGATTTATTTTGTGCAAATATTTCTGACATTATTTAAAAAAAAAAGTTTAATTACCTTAAAATTTACATATACATTTCATGTGATGTTGATTTTCTCATCAATTCAAATGATACATTTATTAAAATGAGATACTTAATACAATTGAGCGGATTCATCACAATTCTCAAGAACAGATCACAAACAAGACAGATGAGCAAAGTGACAAAAATGCGCAAGGTCAACTTCACAACAAAACCCAAGAGCAAATTGGCAACAACGCGCAGAAGGAAATTGAAAATAACACCCAAGATCCATAATCCATATGTAATAGAATTTAAATAATCAATTCCGAAATAGAAAAATGAGTTTAGATATATTCATGATCTGTAGGTAAGGATAGCCGGTTGGTTTCAGATAGAAATAGAATATTTTATCTGTCGGTCTACAAATAATATTTTAGCTGACTG